GCCTCCGAGGCTGGCGAGCAGTATTTCAGCGTGGATGCGGGGAAGGGCGAGCTGGTGGTGAATGACAGAATAGACAGAGAGGCTTTATGCGGACAAAGCGCCAGCTGTGTGTTACCTCTGCAGGTTGTTATTGAAGACCCGCTACAACTTTTTCGAGTTGAAGTCGATATTCAAGACATTAATGATAATGCACCGAGATTTCCATCGAATGAAATTACATTGGAAATTGCAGAATCGACAGTTGTGGGGGTTCATTTTCCACTAGAAAGCGCAATAGATCCAGATGTTGGCAGTAATTCCCTGAAGTCATATACTCTTAGTAAAGACGAATGTTTTAGTATTAGAGTGAAAGAGGTTGGTGGTGGAAGGAAGGTCCCTGAATTGATTTTGGCAAAAGTTTTAGACAGAGAAAAGAAGGCTGTTCACAAGCTTCTTTTGACAGCTCTGGATGGAGGAAGCCCGGTAAGATCTGGGACTGCACAGATAACTATTCGTGTCCTTGACATTAACGATAATGTTCCCGCTTTCGAAAAAACGTCATATAAAGTATCTGTTAGTGAAAATGCCGTAGAAGGTGCGTTAATAGTACAAACAAAAGCGACAGACATGGATGATGGCCAAAACGGTGAGATTGAATATTCGTTTGGAGCACACACATCAGATGCAATGATGTCTATTTTCATTATCGATCATATATCTGGAACCATATTTCTTAAAGGAAAGTTAGATTTCGAAGCAAATGCAAATTATGAATTAGACATAACTGCGAAAGATAAAGGCACTCCGAGAATGGAGGGGCATTGTACTGTTCATGTGGAAGTTATAGACGTCAATGACAACGCGCCAGAAATTATGCTCACCTCTCATCCTAAGCCGGTGCGAGAAGACTCCCCAAATGGCACAGTGGTGGCATTAATCAGTGCAAGAGATCTTGACTCTGGTGATAATGGTAAAGTAAGATTACAGCTCCCTAAAACCTCTCAGTTTGCCCTGAAACCTTCTTTTTCCCATAATTACGCACTGGTTACCAGCGGTCCTTTAGACCGAGAAAAAGTCTCGGAATATAATATAGAAAT